CCATTACTCATGCTCACTTTCATATAACAAGAGATTCTAGTTGCGTAAAGTATAGCCCAGCGATTTGTACTAGGGCTTGTGTCCAATTTCAACACCATTAGATTGATTTAAATTAAAAAAAACTCGCACAACATTCCAGGGACCAACCTCTCGGCAATCAAGCCGAGTAAATTTCAAATTACATGATATTTTTATTAGTACACAAGTATACCACACTAGCCGACTGAAAATGTGCTTTTCGCCATCGATGATTGGCTATCTCGCAGGTGAACAGCAATTCCATACCATTCACCTCCGACCTGACGAAGAGAGGCGAAAAAAGCATTTGAGACTTGACCTAAACTATTGTCGTCGATAACCAGATCCAAATTAACCCTGAAATTTCATAACTCAAGTTCGTCCAACATTTGAAGATGTTTGTTTTGTTCACGATCGTTTGACTTGATTTGACCACATGAAGAGTGTCAAAAACAATTCGCTAATTTGTGTGCGTTAAAAAGCATTGTGCGGCGCCCAATATTTTAATATTTTTGCGCATTTGTATTGAGTAAAACAATGATCATTATAAAATTGTTGAAGCTGGGTAACTTCACCACATCCAGTTATCCTTTTTTTTTATTTTTTTCGTAAAATAAATAAATGTGTAATTAAATATTTGAAATTATCTGAATTGTCAATGTTCATTTCCTACAGCGGTCTTTGTCAGGAATGCTCTGATTTTCATCAGAGAAGTAAGTTCTTTTTTCTTGTTTTGTCAGGAGCCGATTAGTAACTACTATTCGGCTCCTGGTTTTGTTTTGTTATCTTAATGCATCAGTCAATTCCACCTGCGCCCAGCCCCCCCCCCCGGGCAATTTGCCCGCCTTGTCAGTCCCGGGGGTGGGACATTTGCAAATGTTGCACTGCCCGGGGGCCGGGCATTTGCCAACCCCCGGGCCAATCCCGAGCTTTTGACACGCACGCGGTGTCCTATCAGAATATAACTACAAAGAAGGTTTTACTGAAAGAAAAGCAGATTGGCTCATTTGTCAAGGACACGAATAAATTGTAGAGGGTTGTAAAGGCATGTTCTCGATTTTACCTGTATGTATGCATTTCTTTATTGCTTATCAAGCCAGAATTACGTAGCGAAATTGGAGCTATCGATGTGAATCAACGTTTTTTTGGTTATTGAATCAAATTTCTGTTGATATTATTTGAAGAACATCCTTTTATATTTATAAATCTATTCATAACATATAACTTTACAGTGCTCTATTAATTTTAATGTCAATAATTTTATACCAATACTAAAACCATAAACTGGTGCATGTCGTCGCGGCGTGAAGTCTTAATTAGAATCCTCGCGCTATTACAAAAGAAACCACGAGTCAGTCACTAATGCGCACTATGTGTAGCCCAGAGATTTTCACGAAAAAATGCCGGCAACAGCAGACAGCAGACTCAGATCTCAAAGGGGCTTGGCATTATAACCACGTGACATTTACTCCGATCGCCAAAAATTTTATGTTATATTTAAGATTGATCTATATGTTATCCATTTTATGTGTTAGATTTACGATAAAAGTAAAGGTGGGGATACCAGAGAGCTTCAAACTAGGATGGTACCCCCCCAAAAAAACTGGGTCGAGTCACCTTAAACGTTCAAAAACTCGGCAAGGGTGAAAGGGGAAGGTTGAAGCTCCCTGTTTCCCCTTCTTTTCCACGGTAAGGGTAAGGAATGATTTATGTGCGTAATCTAGGAATTCAAAAGGAGCTGATATATTATTCTTTTGCAGAAAATCAGGCTTGACGGGAAATTCGCAAGTTTGATGGATTCTTTCCAAGGTACTTGTGCATGAGAATAAATATTGCTAGAAATATCACAAAGTAACTGTCTTTAAGCGAATTTTGTGCTATTCTTTTGTAGAGCCTATGAAAAAGATAATGGAGCTTTATAAAGCAGATAAGAAGAAAGAGGCAGACCTGGCATTGGCCAATTTTATTTTGAGCTCGAACAGGAAAGGAAAATTGATTCGTTTTCTGTTGCCATATTACGTGACGCCAAAGCCCACTTCCGGTCCAGGTAGTGAAAGTAAACAGGAAGAAAAAGATGACGATCCTTTGGCCTACTTTATTGAACAACAGCAGGGCACAGATGAATTGTGAAGGTATTTGTTTCTGCGAAGTCTGTTCACTATTAGAAATGTGGGTTTGTGTTCCAATTTACCCACGTCATGGCACCAATCCATTGGCTATAATAGGGACTTTAAGATCCAACGACGCGACTGCGACAAGAACGTCGCTTAAAAAGTGAATTTGCGTTCTTTCAGTCTTTATAGCGATTATTCCTAGCCACTTACTTTGTCAAATGTAGGAGAACCCTCCTGTAGCTGAATTTCAAGGGACCATATTCAAGCTCAGAAAGAGAAATAAAATTTCGTCGTTGCTTGTTTACGTCTTCCATAAAACGCGAAATTAGGCATTTTCACGTCGTAATCGTGCAAAAACGGGAAAGAAAGTTACAAAAAAGTGTGATGCACGTGCGAAGTTGTTGTTTTGCTTATTAAGGTTATTCCCTAGTAAAAGAACCTAACATAGATTGTAGATGAAACTTGGTACACTGATGTAACAAGTCAAGAAGATGATAAAAAGGTTATAAAAAGTGGGGGTCACCGTGCTCGTTTTGACGTCACAATGCTGACAAATGCGGCTATTTTGGACCCTTTGACAAATATCGCCCGCAGCCCAAAACTAGACAAAAAGGAAAGATTTTTTCAATGATGCATGTGGTATCGCACAGAATTTGACTTTAATGTATTGTTTATCCACTTCCGTACTAGAAAAATGCCTTTTAATGCCCTTGTTTTTACTAAACGTAACAAACAACCGAAAAGTGAACTTTGAAAAACTGTCAGCCTAACAAGTTCAAAAACTCCAATTGCAATCCGTTCAATTTTTCTTCGAGTTTGTTCGTCTATGCCTTACTTTCTTTGTATTTTTTGCTGCCATTTATACCTTCTATAAACGCTTTGGGCGGTTATTTTTATGTGTCACTCTATCTGGTGGCAATTCACACTGTCTGAAGTTCTTGAATAAAGATTTGTCGTAACACAGCCCTAAAAACATTTACCTATAACATTTACATATACCATATACATTTTGCTTGTCGGACTGTGTTATTATAATCTGTCTTTTTCCTTGCAGAAATCAGAATCAAGCTTTCCATTTGCAAGCACACGTTTTTCTTTGTACATTGAGTTGGGGTGTGGATGTACCATATCAGGAATTTTCAATGTATTTTTATTGTTCACATTATTTTTTCTTCCTCATTAAACGTGTAGTTATGTGAATCTTCGCTTTCATGAAACATAATTAAAAATGAATTCAACAACCACCGGCACCGATAATTTTATTTTTGTGTGTGTGTGTGTTGGGATGACAGGAAACGGGGTAAGTCAGCGGTCCCGACCTCGTGAATAGGTAATTCATGATTTGGCTCATTGAGAAATGGTCCAGATAGGAACGATAGCACTGAACGGCAACGAACATGTTGGAATGCAAAAAATGTGCTAACTTTTCTATTGTCTATACTTACTTCTGATTGGCTTAAACAGCAAAAGTTAACAAAACTTCATAAAGCAGTACATATATTCATCCTTACTTTCCAACCCTCTTTCATATAACAAAATCTGGTCTATGTTTGAATAATAAAGCAATCCTTTGTGGGGAACATGTAAAATTGTAAACTTTTCTTGGCTATTGTTTTCAACTCTTGTGATTGGTCAAAATCTTTTAACACAAAAAACACCCTTTCAAAGTGGAGAGTAAATGCATGATTGCGTAAACGGCCTTCATGTAGGTTTATGCATTCTCTGTGTAAAAATGAGAACATTCCTATGTGGGGAAAGCACCGTTGCCGCATAACAAAAGAATTTCAGTGCTATCCACCTTACCCAGATCATTACTTAATAAAGACCATATCCCCACAATCAAGTTTTCTATGTCGTAAGACTTTAAGTGATCGCACTCACCCGCTTTCGCTTTTTGTGGGGATCCTGCGCGACAGATAAGGAAAAGGGAAAATTCTACCGCGCGCGCCTTCCCCGGCCTCCCCTTTATAATGAACTCTTGTGAAGGCAAAACCACAACGACAAACCAGTGACGGTCAGGCGGATCTTTAGTAGACCTGGATCAGTAAAAACTCCAAAACCAAATTTTAAAATTAGAACAGTAAACTTATCCTCACGACAGGAAGAGTGATAGGAAACATAAAGACAGAAAATAAAACAACAACAACAACAAAACTGGTGAATTGTATTTTCCCGATATTTTGGTTTGCAACACAAACCGAAATATTGGGCAAATACAATTCACCAGTTTTGTTGTTGCTGTTTTGTTTTCTGTCTTTATGTTTCCTATCACTCTTCCTGCCGTAGGGAACAGCAGTTTACTGTTCTAGTTTTAAAATCCCCTTTATAATGCCTGCCAAGAGCTTGTTTCTCTTGTACTACCGCCGTTCCAAAAGAAAGCGAAATGAATTAAGTGAATATTCTGTGTACTGATTGGCAACCTGAACCCTCCCTTAGGACCGCCCGCTTTGTTAAAGACACTGAGACAGAGACCTGGACCACTTTATACTTTCTCAATACTGTAGACAACACGGATACAGAAACAATTTCCGCTTCCGTTTTCGTCTTTGTTGACTCTTTAGTTGTGACGCGGGTGGCTATGCGATTTCCCGCCAAAATAACCTCGAGCATTCGGGGTTGCCATATGCGTGTGGTGCGGACGGACTGTCGGAGGCGGTCACTTCCTTTTATCTTTTCTTTTTTTGGCTTATTTCGATAACTTAGAGCAACAAAGGAATACATGTACTTGTGAAAATTTAAAAGAATGCAAATGATAAGCTGTCCGAGTTTCATGCCTCCGGCTGATCCAAATAACGATATTTGCGAGAAGACTGGAAGAGCCGGAAGCGGTGAAATCAACCGCAAAAAAGTACTGGGCACTACTGAAGAAGACAAAATGGCAGACGAGGTAGACTTTTCAAGGAAGGGATAATTATTGCATCGTTTTCTCTTATTTAGTGACCTTTTATGATGCCCTCATTCGGCCAAATTGTAATTGGTCCTCCAGGTTCTGGTAAAAGTACATTTTGTGCTGGAATGTGCGAGTTCTTGACCAGCCTAGGGCGAAAAGTTGCAGTAATAAACTTGGATCCTGCGAACGAAATATTGTACTATAAATGTTCTGTGGATATTTCGACTCTTATAACACTGGACGATGTTATGGAAAATCTTAAACTGGGCCCCAACGGTGGACTTATATACTGTATTGAATATCTTGAGAAGAATATTGACTGGTTGGAGTCGAAGCTAAAAGAACTGAAGGGACATTATTTTCTATTTGATTGCCCTGGTCAAGTAGAACTGTATACTCATCATCAGTCGGTAAGAAATGTGGTCAGACAGTTGGAAAAGTGGGACTTTAGGGTAAGTGGAAGAAATTGTATTTTTTTTAAATTTCGCCCTACTACTTTACGAGGAGGACATTTGGGGGCACCTAATACCAGAGATGCCAACCTCTGAAGGATAGGATAGCATAGGATAGGTTAGGATAGGATAGCTGCTCTATTATCAACAGAGCGCCTACACAGACACATGTGTTTATGACAATAACAAACATTTTAGTGCAATAATTACAGAGGTGTTCATCTGTGACCTTAGGGTAAGGGAAGGAAATTGTATTTTTTTTATTTTGCCCTCCTACTTTACAAGGAGGACATCTGAATCTGGAGACTCTCTTTTGTACCCCCTCAGAAAATGTGCCTGATGTGTTTAACATCTTTTAAGAAATGTTACTATACTACCACTTGCCCCTTCCCCTCAGAAACTGTGGACTGTAGTCTTACAATCCTCAGAAAGTTTCACTTTTCTTTTACTTCCCCTCAGTATATCTGGAATTCAGTCCCAAAAATTTGAGAAATTTATCCTTCATAAAATTTCTTCACTGGGGGTGGAGGGCGGAGGGTGGGGTAGGCATGGGATTACAAACTTAGGCATGGGTCAATTAATGCTCAACCTAATAAATTATTAAGGTTGGTTGTAGGGTAAACTTTGCTGGCTGTAGGGAAACTGGGAAATTTGTATAACACAGAAGAGATAATTCTAAAAAATGTGCAAAGCAGTATAAAACCTGCCACTGCACATCATGAAATGACAAAGAAAACAACATAGCCCTCTGAGTACTAATTAAGAATAAGGATATAAGAACTTTAAGCCAAACTACCCGTTAACAAAATAATACATCTGATAATAATAAGGCTTTTCCTGGGATAAAGGCCCCCCTCAAAATGTATGAAATGAATTCAATGGTTACAATTTGGGTTGCCCAGGCAAAAGTCCAGAATTAAAGAATGGTGAAAAAATTGTGTGCAACTTGAACATTTTATTGATTAGCATTTTATTTCCTTTATAGTTACTAAGAAAGGGTTTTAACTAAACTGTTAAGTACAACAGGCTACAGGCCTAGGCTAAACATGATTTATTTAAGTTTTACAAGTAGCCATGTTCGGTCAGTTTACCATGAAGGCAAGACCGTACGCTTATGTTTTTCCTCATTTAAGGCAGTGGCTCCTGCGTCACCTTTTTTCCCTTGAAGGCAGCGAAACTCCTTCTAAAAAACATCTGATCTTAATGCGTATAAGTCACCAGTTTCTGCTTCACTTTTTTTTTCCCAAATAAACGCCTTCTAAAAAAATGTCTTATCTTGATGAGTGCTGTCACTTTTTTTACGAATGGCCTCTGAATGCAGTAATTCATAATAAAAAAAAAAGCTGAGTCTGCGATCGTTTCACAGATAATACTGCACCATCAAGGATGGTGCCCAAACTTCAATATATTTTATTGTAGACAAAAGCTGCTTGCTATTCTCCAATATTCTAAAAGTTTTAAGTGGATAAGAAGTAATCAGAACAAAGGGAAAATGTATCAAATCATATAAGAATTTTTGGATCGTTTTGAAAAGATTTTGTGGTTGAGCAAAAACCTCACTCTTCTGAAGAGCTACTTTTGAAGTTATCTTAATCGTCCATACGAGATTGTAGTCATCTGGGACGACTGGACGACTGGGAATATGGATCCCTGCCCTCTGTTTATAATCACTCTAAACCTCAGGACCCAGTTGTTTGAAGGCGGATTAGCACTAACCCAGGATTAAATTTTAATCTGGGTTCCTTTTTCTTTTGTTCCAAAGCATTTTCCAGGATAAATTTCTCGGTGGTTACTAAAACAAGGAACCACCTGAAACGACCTGAAATGATCTGAAACCACCTGAAACCACCTGAAACAACCTGAAACGACCTGAAAACAACAATAAAAATAATTTGATCGATCTATGGACGTTTGTTTTCACGGGAGAACTGGAAACTAATTTTCGCCGCAAAGACCCATGGGACTAAAATTTTCCCGCCGAAGTCTAAGGACAATGGCGGAGTGTAGCGACTCCGATTGCTTCTGGTGGTGGTTGCAGGTGGTTTCAGGTGGTTCCTTGTTTTAGTGACTACCTAAATTTCTCAATTATGTTTAGAGCATTCAGTTAACAAATTATATGTAAAAAGAATTAAACTGAATGTGCTTTTTAAGCGTTCATATGTGAATTCAGTTTTTGCACTAACCCTGGGTTATCTTAACCCAGCTTTGAACAGCCCGGCCCAGATGTATAAACCTAGGACTTGGAAGCAGCAGTTTTCATTTTGCAGTGATGGCTACATGCTGCCGTTCTATTATTAGTATTTTTTTTCTTTCAGCTAGCTGCAGTTCATCTTGTTGATGCACATCACTGTAGTGATCCTACAAAGTTTATTTCTGTGCTTCTGACTTCACTGTCCACTATGATTCATATTGAACTGCCTCATGTCAATGTCCTTTCCAAGATTGACTTGGTGGAGCAGTATGGAAAGCTAGGTAAAATAATTATTTTCCACTTTAAGTATTAAAACAATGTAGGTGATGTGTGCAGTGATCCTTCACTTTATAATTGTATGGGAGAGTCACAGAAAAGAATAAATAACAGTCAATTGTTGTACCTTAAAATGAAATTCAGGTTGAATTGTTTTGACCATATTTGAATTGCAGTTTCCTTTGTCTGCTAATCCTAATTATAACTCGTTTTTACGAATAATGATGGTTTGTGGCACAAAGGAAATGGACAGCATTATCCACAATGATATTTCCTAAATGTTGTGCCTAAATTAATTAAATTTAAGCTATGTTTATTACAACACAATAGCTCTCCCCCAGGGTTAGTGTGTGGGCTGTCTAGGGTATTGTGTGCAGGCACTTTACTTTGTTTACAGCATGGTTTCCTATTTCAAGTCATTCTGTGTTTGTTTCTTGCTACTGGGCAATTGTAGCTGATTTTATCCCTTGCCTGCCCATCGCTCTTGGCGTGGCAAATTAGTAAAGATCTTAGTTTCCACTGTTTAATTCAGTACAGACAACCTTGCCTGGTCATGGTTGCTGCTCACAGAGTTATCATGGATAGCCTGCAAGCTCCTGCGCATTTGATTCAGTTGAGTTTGGCTCTCGGGTCCCCCTTCCTTTCTTAGGCAAGCTACATTCCCCAAGTCTATTTAATGTAATAACAAAATGAAAATAACTAAAAATTATTATGTACTATGGTTGGGAGTGATAGGAAATTTAGAATCAAAGGTTTGTTCATATACAACCATTATGTTAATCTGAATTTCATTTTGAAATAGAAGATGAATATCAAAGATCACTTTCAACACTGCCTTAAATACTTAATAAGCAGTAATTTTGTTCTTGAAAATAAGAAGATACCTCTTTCATTCATTTTTGCGATTTTACTAACATGCTTAAGATTATAGTACTCAGTTTCACATTCACTACAACCACTTAATAAAAGCATTGAAAACACAATTTTTTTTTTATGGAGTTAGCCTTCCTTTAATTTTTCTAAAGTGAATTTATATTCATAAACTCCAGAAAAGGCAAGATCAGTTGTCAACCCTTCATTTAGAGTATTTTCAAATTTTAGCTGGTACAACACTTACTGTACCTTCCTGCTGTTATACACTGTATATGGATAATTATTGTTTTATTTAGGTCAAGGCTGTACAGTGTATCATTGGTTCTTGTATTCATGAGCAATAATTTTTAGCACAAAAAAGGGATCATTATATGTTTCTGGGAAACTTCCCACCTACCCCTTCCTTAAGCCAACATTTTGCCCTAAGTGAGAAGTAAGTGTTAACGTTGGCTTAGGGGATGGGTATGTGGGCAGCTTCCCAGAAAAAAGTATAATCATCCCAAAAAAGGACCTCTGTCCTTCACAGAGGCTAAAAATAGCAATGACAGAAAGAGGCCTCTGTGGATGAGAGGGAAAAAAGGAGTATTATTGATCATTGGGAATTTTAATGGGAAATTTTAACAGTAAAATTTTGTTTAACATCCCCTGGTGTCAATCACACTGCCCTTCGGTTGTTTTCCATAAATTACTTTCTAAATATCCTTAAAACTCCAAGAAAGCAATACCAACTCAGTAAAACTTCTGGCTCTTGAAATACAGTGACTTCTTATCAGCATGGTACTAGTATATTCTCTGACTCGTCTCCTTGCATTTTTTGTTGTAGTAATAAGGAGAATTTGTTTAATAATCAGGACATGTTATCTTTGATAATCAGTTCCTTTATTTGTGGCCTTTATGTTTAATTAAACAGTAAAATACAAGGCTCAGGAGTGCTGAGACTTAATTGTACAAGTTACTCTCAAACCATTCCCATTCACTCCCTTTTACTAATATAATTTGCTTTCAATCATTCCCATTTCAGTCTTTGAAGCCTTGCCTCTTATAGTAGTAATGTGTTTCTATTTTTTTTTGTAGCATTTAACCTGGACTTTTACACGGAAGTTCTAGACTTAAATTTTCTCTTGGAGCACATCAAGGATGACCCTTTTTCACAGAAATACAAAAAGCTAAATGAGGCTTTAGTCAGCTTAGTGGAAGATTATGGCCTTGTGTCTTTTAAAACACTGGATGTTCAAGTAAGGAAAACTTTCACCTTAATAATCCTTGTTATAAAGAGGGAGTGATTGGCCAAAAATAAATAAATAAACAACAACAACAACAACAAACAAACAAAAAAGAGGAGAGGCTTCCTTCTTGCTATTTGAGCATTTGCTTATATGAGTGTAGTTTTCAATATACTTACTGTCCAACTAAGCATTGGTGCATCACTATTCAGTTCGGCAGTTAGTCTATAGATATATAATGCTTGGCAAATTACTCTGGAAAGAAATTACACTTAAGGATGCATCATGGCTGAGGGGTCATCAGTGCTTCTCCTTCATCCGCTCATGGTTGCACACTTGCAACCCAGCGCTCCCGGGTTCAAGTTATGCTCTGACTACTGCCTGGATTTATTTCTCGGTTGTCCAAAATTCATATTATTGGCCATGCTTGCTTTTAAATAGCCAACAGGTTGACCTCTGCAAGTTGGCGTTTTTGATGCCGTTTTATTCTCTTTGGTTTATTTTGTTTTTGATTATTAGAGTGGATTGTCTGTAATTTCGCTGGAAGGTTAATTGCACTTCCACTGTAAGAAAAATCTTTACTTTACCTCGTCACTTCTTAGTGATGGCAGGTTGAGAATAGACCATTTTACCATCTGTAGTGGTCAATTATGAACCCCATTTATAATATTTGGTCCGAATAGTATCGCATTTATTCAAAGATGCTAGGCGCATTGACGTTATTGGTAACATCATTATAACCTGCTGTTAAATGAGATGACGAGCCTTCCATGCTAAACCGTCAACAATAAAAACAACAACAACAACAACAACAACTCCGTTCTATTATTAGTATTTTTTTTCTTTCAGCTAGCTGCAGTTCATCTTGTTGATGCACATCACTGTAGTGATCCTACAAAGTTTATTTCTGTGCTTCTGACTTCACTGTCCACTATGATTCATATTGAACTGCCTCATGTCAATGTCCTTTCCAAGATTGACTTGGTGGAGCAGTATGGAAAGCTAGGTAAAATAATTATTTTCCACTTTAAGTATTAAAACAATGTAGGTGATGTGTGCAGTGATCCTTCACTTTATAATTGTATGGGAGAGTCACAGAAAAGAATAAATAACAGTCAATTGTTGTACCTTAAAATGAAATTCAGGTTGAATTGTTTTGACCATATTTGAATTGCAGTTTCCTTTGTCTGCTAATCCTAATTATAACTCGTTTTTACGAATAATGATGGTTTGTGGCACAAAGGAAATGGACAGCATTATCCACAATGATATTTCCTAAATGTTGTGCCTAAATTAATTAAATTTAAGCTATGTTTATTACAACACAATAGCTCTCCCCCAGGGTTAGTGTGTGGGCTGTCTAGGGTATTGTGTGCAGGCACTTTACTTTGTTTACAGCATGGTTTCCTATTTCAAGTCATTCTGTGTTTGTTTCTTGCTACTGGGCAATTGTAGCTGATTTTATCCCTTGCCTGCCCATCGCTCTTGGCGTGGCAAATTAGTAAAGATCTTAGTTTCCACTGTTTAATTCAGTACAGACAACCTTGCCTGGTCATGGTTGCTGCTCACAGAGTTATCATGGATAGCCTGCAAGCTCCTGCGCATTTGATTCAGTTGAGTTTGGCTCTCGGGTCCCCCTTCCTTTCTTAGGCAAGCTACATTCCCCAAGTCTATTTAATGTAATAACAAAATGAAAATAACTAAAAATTATTATGTACTATGGTTGGGAGTGATAGGAAATTTAGAATCAAAGGTTTGTTCATATACAACCATTATGTTAATCTGAATTTCATTTTGAAATAGAAGATGAATATCAAAGATCACTTTCAACACTGCCTTAAATACTTAATAAGCAGTAATTTTGTTCTTGAAAATAAGAAGATACCTCTTTCATTCATTTTTGCGATTTTACTAACATGCTTAAGATTATAGTACTCAGTTTCACATTCACTACAACCACTTAATAAAAGCATTGAAAACACAATTTTTTTTTTATGGAGTTAGCCTTCCTTTAATTTTTCTAAAGTGAATTTATATTCATAAACTCCAGAAAAGGCAAGATCAGTTGTCAACCCTTCATTTAGAGTATTTTCAAATTTTAGCTGGTACAACACTTACTGTACCTTCCTGCTGTTATACACTGTATATGGATAATTATTGTTTTATTTAGGTCAAGGCTGTACAGTGTATCATTGGTTCTTGTATTCATGAGCAATAATTTTCAGCACAAAAAAGGGATCATTATATGTTTCTGGGAAACTGCCCACCTACCCCTTCCTTAAGCCAACATTTTGCCCTAAGTGAGAAGTAAGCGTTAACGTTGGCTTAGGGGATGGGTATGTGGGCAGCTTCCCAGAAAAAAAGTATAATCATCCCAAAAAAGGACCTGTCTCCTTCACAGAGGCTAAAAATAGCAACGACACAAAGAGACCTCTGTGGATGAGAGGGAAAAAAGGACTATTATTGATGATTGGGAATTTTAATCGGAAATTTTAACAGTAAAATTTTGTTTAACATCCCCTGGTGTCAATCACACTGCTCTTCGGTTGTTTTCCATAAATTACTTTCTAAATATCCTTAAAACTCCAAGAAAGCAATACCAACTCAGTAAAACTTCTGGCTCTTGAAATACAGTGACTTCTTATCAGCATGGTACTAGTATATTCTCTGACTCGTCTCCTTGCATTTTTTGTTGTAGTAATAAGGAGAATTTGTTTAATAATCAGGACATGTTATCTTTGATAATCAGTTCCTTTATTTGTGGCCTTTATGTTTAATTAAACAGTAAAATACAAGGCTCAGGAGTGCTGAGACTTAATTGTACAAGTTACTCTCAAACCATTCCCATTCACTCCCTTTTACTAATATAATTTGCTTTCAATCATTCCCATTTCAGTCTTTGAAGCCTTGCCTCTTATAGTAGTAATGTGTTTCTATTTTTTTTTGTAGCATTTAACCTGGACTTTTACACGGAAGTTCTAGACTTAAATTTTCTCTTGGAGCACATCAAGGATGACCCTTTTTCACAGAAATACAAAAAGCTAAATGAGGCTTTAGTCAGCTTAGTGGAAGATTATGGCCTTGTGTCTTTTAAAACACTGGATGTTCAAGTAAGGAAAACTTTCACCTTAATAATCCTTGTTATAAAGAGGGAGTGATTGGCCAAAAATAAATAAATAAACAACAACAACAACAACAAACAAACAAAAAAGAGGAGAGGCTTCCTTCTTGCTATTTGAGCATTTGCTTATATGAGTGTAGTTTTCAATATACTTACTGTCCAACTAAGCATTGGTGCATCACTATTCAGTTCGGCAGTTAGTCTATAGATATATAATGCTTGGCAAATTACTCTGGAAAGAAATTACCCTTAAGGATGCATCATGGCTGAGGGGTCATCAGTGCTTCTCCTTCATCCGCTCATGGTTGCACACTTGCAACCCAGCGCTCCCGGGTTCAAGTTATGCTCTGACTACTGCCTGGATTTATTTCTCGGTTGTCCAAAATTCATATTATTGGCCATGCTTGCTTTTAAATAGCCAACAGGTTGACCTCTGCAAGTTGGCGTTTTTGATGCCGTTTTATTCTCTTTGGTTTATTTTGTTTTTGATTATTGGAGTGGATTGTCTGTAATTTCGCTGGAAGGTTAATTGCACTTCCACTGTAAGAAAAATCTTTACTTTACCTCGTCACTTCTTAGTGATGGCAGGTTGAGAATAGACCATTTTACCATCTGTAGTGGTCAATTATGAACCCCATTTATAATATTTGGTCCGAATAGTATCGCATTTATTCAAAGATGCTAGGCGCATTGACGTTATTGGTAACATCATTATAACCTGCTGTTAAATGAGATGACGAGCCTTCCATGCTAAACCGTCAACAATAAAAACAACAACAACAACAACAACAACAACCACCTTTATTTACTTCACATGAATATATAAGATAGTGCTGACCTGCAAAGTAGCAGGAACACTAATCGATGAACAAAAAAAAAAAAAAGAAACGACTTTGACACTAGTTTCCTTTGCTCGTGTCATTATCTTAGTCCAAGGAAAGTATGTATCAAGTGATGAAGTCGATTGATCAAGCCAATGGATATGTATTTGGTGGAGTTGAAGAAGACAACAGAGGAAACTTTAGTCAACTGATGTCATCAGCTGTTGGAACGGATTTTGAATTCTTCAGGTTAGTGGAGGGCGAGGAAAGCCTTTATTTCTCTGGAATTTTGAATTTTATAGCAACTGCATTTTTAGAAAATGAGCTACGGTGTTTTACGGCGGGATGGCCAGCAAGTTTTAGTCTAAATAAGCCCAACAACTGTTGAGATCTTATAATCTAATATCACATGTCCGGTACTACACATTTGATTTAGTAACAGTTATTGAATGAGACTGAGTATCAATTGAAGAATTATGGAGATCGAGTAGGGTGTTACGGCCTCGGCGGATAACACCCCGAGAGACTCTTGATAATTCTTCAGATGATACGAAAGCCGAATTCAATAATTGTTACTTATTCTTCATTCAAAATAATTCCTAGTTTACAATCAAGCTAAAACATGCTTACCTCTGTAGATGGGAAAAGTTCATCGTCGATAGCGCATGTTTATTGGCAAATTTAGGAGATAAAAGGTTGTTTAGTTCTGCACATATTCTCCAAATAGCAGATGTCGTCCGTCGAGTTGTCTTCTTGCTGTTCTTGCTGTGTTTTTAGCCAATAGTTCGCCTAGTTCGTCCTCTTGAAACGAGTGAAATGTTCTGCCATTCTGTATCACTACAAAAAACACTACCAATAAACAACTCAACCTCGTTCCCTGGTCTTCTCGGCTAACGGTTCAATAATCCGTCAATTTTGCTGCACGATTGACGTCATCAGCTCACATATCGCAAAATTCTTCCAAATTTGGTTGACAGTAGCATGTTATGATGCATTATGCGTGGGATTTTAGCCAATCAGAAACGAAGAGATATTTTGAATGAATAATAAGTCATTTTATTAGCTGAAAGTTGTTTCTTGTTTCTTTTAGTGTTCTATGGAAACCCCCTTTCCTCCACCTACAATGGCGACGGAGTTTTTGATACTTTTGAGAGGTTATTTTCAAATGGGGGTACTGCGAGGAACACATTTAAAGTTGGGATGTTCTGTTATTTCCTATTTACAGCTCGTACGGTGGCACAACATTGCTTAGAGTAGGTGCCGTGGGGCCGGGTCAGGGAATGCTTCATTTCTCCCTTTTCAAGTCGGTACAACGTCACAAAGCGCCCTCAAGTCAAAGTGTCTTTTAAATACTAATTTTGACTCCGATTGTAGGTTGTCTTTTATTTGCTCAAGGAAGCCATCCTGCGGGCAGGTTGTTACATGTAAATGTTGTTGTTTATCTAACGTATTTACACTGCTCGTGTCCAATTTATCAGAACTGCTGCAGTTCAAGAAAAGTACATGGTGGGCAAAGACGAAAAACCGTAATCCATTGTACGGCAATTCTCTTTAACAATGCACTGTTGCAACAGACGTTGGCAGGACGAGCAAAGCGACAAAATTTAAGTTCTCCACAAACATGTACTTCAGATGTTTTTGTTTCTAATAAGCCTGTCAAAGAGTCAGGAACATCGTACTCATTTTATTGGGACAGTTACTCCAGCGATTGTGGACACCAAAGCCGATAACGGTCAATACAATTATCGGTAACCATACAGACATTGTACTTGTAGATGTAATATAATATACTTACATGTTCTATGTATAATGTTACAATAAGATAAAAATACATTTTTGAATATTGTTACAAACTTAATAACAACGTTTCGGCGTAGTTGACTTGAATTAAAAGTTCGACAGAGATCAGAGTAACACACTATTATAGATGTAAAATGAAGCTGGAGAGGGGGAGGGGGGAGTGTGGGGCTTATGAATATTTGAGAATTAATGTCAAAGTATTTGTCTGATTTTAATTTTGAGATTCCCTGTGGCATAGACCTGACGAAAACATGACGATTGGAAAATTTTCGTTGTCAGTGTCTTGAAAAATAAATCGAGCCCTGCATTTTCAAACGGACGCTCAGGGATGAGGCTGAAGTCCATTTAACAACCATGGCCTTAACGGAGTGAATGTGTTACTTCGTTAACTAAGGGTAAGCGCCAGAAATCGAAGAAAAATAACCTTTTTGGTGCCATGGGTAATAAGTTTTTCCGCTGATTATTAATTTGGTGGATTTGATATGAAGGAAAGTTTGTTATGATAAGTGTGAGCAATAGGTAGCTCTTGTACGTTGTACTGCATATGTCATGACCCATAAAAACAATAACCGATAACTTGTGGGAAATGAAGCCCGTATGTGTCTAAATACCAATTGAAAGCAACTTATTATTTGACAAGTTACAAGCTGAGGTTGCTCGCATAAACAAATTAAAAAAAACATGAAAATTGAATAAATGCGATGAAGATTATTNGAATTAATGTCAAAGTATTTGTCTGATTTTAATTTTGAGATTCCCTGTGGCATAGACCTGACGAAAACATGACGATTGGAAAATTTTCGTTGTCAGTGTCTTGAAAAATAAATCGAGCCCTGCATTTTCAAACGGACGCTCAGGGATGAGGCTGAAGTCCATTTAACAACCATGGCCTTAACGGAGTGAATGTGTTACTTCGTTAACTAAGGGTAAGCGCCAGAAATCGAAGAAAAATAACCTTTTTGGTGCCATGGGTAATAAGTTTTTCCGCTGATTATTAATTTGGTGGATTTGATATGAAGGAAAGTTTGTTATGATAAGTGTGAGCAATAGGTAGCTCTTGTACGTTGTACTGCATATGTCATGACCCATAAAAACAATAACCGATAACTTGTGGGAAATGAAGCCCGTATGTGTCTAAATACCAATTGAAAGCAACTTATTATTTGACAAGTTACAAGCTGAGGTTGCTCGCATAAACAAATTAAAAAAAACATGAAAATTGAATAAATGCGATGAAGATTATTGCAAATACTAAGACAGAAGTTATGAAGTTGCAAAGCCCTTCTTTTTGCAACTACTTAAGTTGCTTCTTTAACTGCGATGATCTTTTTTGTATTTATCATGATTTATTCGTCATTTCGCGGTTCAAATACATGAAATGATTATTTATTCATCATTTCATAAAAAAATGGAGTCCAGTGTTGGCAGGGTAATATAACGAACTCTGAGAATATTTCGTTTAACTCCGTGGAATTTTAAAAGGACAATCGGTCATGTTTGCCATAACTTGTAACACCCCCGATCTCCTCTTTATGAGTATATCGCTTTACAGGGCTGAAACGGGAACTAGTTCTTAGTTTCAGTTAGATTAGCAACATAGCAATTAGCTGATTTTGACTAAATTTTAAAACAACTAATTTGTGACGACTGGCTAGTAAACAACTGGAAAGGAAATCATGTTTCCAAAAACTTATGTTTACTAAAACCTTATTTTACCGTGAAGGATTTAAAAGTTCAATTCATAGCAAAATAAAAATAAATAAGTAAACATGCAAACAAAATTCTTTTAGGGCATTGCACCTTGCCGCACTAGAACTTGTGTCATTTGCCTTTACAGAGTAAACAGTCATCATTTACTGAAATATAATGGGCCGATGGTCATATTCAAGTATAGTTTCAATTTGTCCTTTTTCGATTCATTGTATTGTCAACACCGTTTACATGAAGTTAATTGCTTATGAAGATCGTGACCAGTATACAAATACCTACTTGGACATCGCATATCCTTGGTAATTTCCTTACTATAGATAGGTTAACATATTTGAAAATAGAAGGACCCAAATTCTTCATACTCTTCTCTACGGGGAAACTGCGGTGAAATTAAGAGGTAGTCAACATGTATTGGTCTTTGATTAAGATGCTATTCTTTGCAATGATTATTGTTTGTTTTCTTGGCTTATGGGTGTACGACAAACAGTTAATCGATGAGGAATTGCAGTGGCCTCAATTGGAAGGTATTTTTTGTTTCTTTTTACGAGTTAATTTAACCCAAGATTGAAAGAAAAAGGAGGAACTGTGGTAAATCTTGACTGATTCGTGAAGTGAACCGTTTTATAGTTGCCCCTGCGCGACTGGCGTTTACTTGATGATCGCTCCAAGTCACGTAGTTTGGCCGCTTTTAGCAATTAAAAAATGGCTACCAAACTGATGGACACTGCCTTAATAACCCCTGAAACAGTTGTTTATAAGGACAAATACACTCGGCACATCACGACCCCACAAGCTTCTAGTTTTAACCCTCATCGTGTTAAAATAAAGGTTTTTTTTAATTATCAGTTAAATGTAAAACTAAGAGAAGACAAAATCGGAAAAGATTATAACGGATTCTGGGACTTTTGAAAACCTGTTCAGCCTTCTGTTTTTTTTTTTCTTTCAGTTCGTACAAAGAAAAATAAATGTTCTCTTGGGTCATATAGTCCCTTTTTATTATGCGCGCGTAATTTCAGTCACCTATTAAACAGGCCACTTCCGAGTTCCAAAAACCCTCACTTTCAGAAATGAGGCCAAGTGCACAACCTTTCTTCTCAAAATGAGTTTTATTTGCATGAGAATGAAAAATCATTTTCATATCAAAGGCTGAGCACTTAACGTGGTTTTGATACAGAGGCCCGGGGAAACTTGGAAATGTTCACATGACGTCACGGCGGCCATATTGGTGTTCCAAAACAATGAAACGGCGGCCATGTTGGTGTCCCAAACAAGTCCTGCGGGACTTGAACTCCCTTCTTATGCAAATGCTTTCTTTTGTTCCAATAAATTTGCATCGATGCTGGCCACGTGAGTGAAAACACTCTATTAAATTAAACAATCACATTTATATCGTTAAAAATTTGCTACTTTTTCCCAGGCCCCGTTTGTTGAAAAGGTGGATAAACAAGGCTTCTCTATCCAGTGGACTTTTTAAAAGTCGTTTATTTTTTTTCCTGGTTGGTTTTGCCACTTCGAGACTTCGTCACTTGCTTGGTCTCTGCGCGTCTTCATGCACTGAACTGAAGCTCGCTTCGCTCACTTTTAAGAAGTTATGACAGGTCGAAGTGTAGCAAGTCTATCTATCCAGTTGATAACGCTTATCCGCTGGATAGCTAATTATCCAGTGGATAGCGCTATCCAACGTTCGAACAACCGGGGCCGGGAAATCACTTTGACATTACATGTCAACCTCAACTCGGCGCTCCATAATCGGCCACAAATTCTGCCAACGGTCACGATGGCCGCTTACTTGAGTCCTGGCGCACAATTATTCACTCGTTTTTTAACCAGAAGCAAATCGGCTCTCTACAATGGGGCGGTTCTCTTAACCTCTGTCCCCAGGGTGGCAACTGTGGAACAGTGTTACTGTTCTTTATCGAGGAAATTTTGTGACACAATTAGAGAGATATATTCAGAATCACTTTATATCGCAAACTGGCTCGGTCAGTAACTGTTTTTACTACGCGACGAATTTTACTTTCATTTGTCCTTAGAACCACTCCAAAATAATCGCTTCATGCCAGTTCCATATAAAAAAAAACAACTATTTTGGACGTAATTGCGACGTAATTCCCATTTGATGTTTGCCATAAACGTAAGTCTACTGTAAATAGGCGATCGCCACCCTCTCAACACATATAGACCTTGTCACGGTTTTCGACGCCATCTTGACGAGTAGGCAAACGCTTGAGAAATTATAGTGTTTGTATGAAAATCTAATGTCGAATAATTTCCGTAGAACGTCTGTTTTGAAAAAATATGAGTTGTAAACCAAAGCTACAAAACATAGGATTGTACTAAAAAAATTTGGGGGCGTACCTGTGCTTAAATTTCTTCAGAGGCTTGCTTTAGATTTTCCATACATTTGTGCGTAATTTTTCCCGTGACATTCTTTTAATAGAGACAAATGTATAGAAAATTTAAGAAGGTTGTTTTAGGTCTTCTAGCGTATGTAACGCCCTAAATTTTTTTCATTAGAATCCTTAGGAGTGAAGCATTAGTTTACAATTCATTATATGTTTTTCAAATTAAAACAGCCCTTCTACGGAAATTATTTGACATTAGATTCTCATACAAACACTGCAATTCCTCACGCGTTTGCCTACTCGTCAAGATGGCGTCGAAAACCGTGACAAGGTCTATTGCGAGAATGCTGAGATGATATTGTGAATTTTTCTCCAGGACTTAATAATACGCCTTTTACAGACCGACCTTTATCTTTGAACTTCCTTATGCTGAGAAGAAAACAACTCTTGCAAGACCAGTGCTTCAGGAAACCACAAAACCCTCTTTACATTGAAGAAGCCGACTTTTCCCGCTTCATTGTAATTGAAAAGTTGAGGTTTGTATTTTGTTTCATCCCAAAAGTCTCTTGTGCAACTTGGAAAGGAGTTCTTTATGCTGCAGAAAATATGGGAAAAGCTACTGGGTTTAACCCGCACAGAAGAATACTGTTTAAGTGGCTCAGTGATTACACCCCTAGTAAAAGAAAAGAAATTTTAGACAGTTACTACAAGGCCATGTTTGTTCGTCACCCGTTCGAGAGACTGGCGTCAGCTTACAGAGATAAAAAGAAAAAAAAGTGGTTCCAACGATTAATCTATCCCGAGAACGAAGAATTGTGGGAAAAGATCAAATTTTCGGCCTTTATAAGGCGTGAGCTTCTAACTAGAAACAAAACGACTCTTCAAACTAACCAGCACTGGCGTTCATATGAGCAGATTTGCCCATGTGAAGTGAAATTCGACTTCATTGGACACTTTGAAAACTTGTTCGAGGAAGCAGGACGGCTTCTGAACATAATTGGTGTCGATGACTACGTAAAGTTTCCCGAATATCGTCCGTCCAAGACACAACCGTACATGCAGGAATATTACTCCGAGCTTACCACAAGCGAGATATCGCAGTTGTATGAAATCTTTGAGTTGGACTTTAAACTGTTTGGATACGACAGGCTTCCTGGTCCTTTATTAAAAGTTAATAAAAAACACAACAGTGTCAGAGAAAAGTAACCAGGAAACAGGAAGGATAAATAGTTCATTGTTTGTTTGTTTGCTTCCCTCCGATGCAGCTGTTGCAGGGGCGTAGCCAGGATTTTCCCTGAAGTACGCACACTTTTCTCAATCCCTGTCCCCTACCTGACAACGTTTTGATGCCTTTATATCTAGCCGGATTTATGAAAACCGTACCATCGGACTCCTGGTGCCCACACACCTTAAACTGACTGAACTAAAGCAAATATCGCCAAGAAACTCAACTCTTACCCATGGTTCTCTTAAGGTGACTCTCTTCTTGGTTCCTGATTAGCAAAAGAAACATTCAAGTCCATCAAAAGACACTCTAGCTGCTTGAAGGCCCTAAATGACGGAGGATGCTTGAGACTTAATCAAGTTCTAAGCAGAGAATTCAAGGTTAAATCACCCCCCCGCCCCCCACCCGACTTCCTCCACCCTCCCCAACCTAGCACGTGCTTGAGGGGAATGCTTTCATTGGCCAGTGGGCCTCAAACATTACAAGAATTTGACATGAACAAACTAAAGGCAGACATGACCACTGCACTGACTCTCCCAGAGCAAGACTAACGGAAGGTACCACGCTATTGCAGCACCTTCCCCCCGCCTAGGGATTGACATGGAGGCCCCTTTCGAACCCATGGCGAGTTAGCTCAGGGACTGAGCTTGACAGTGAGACCAACCAGGACAGCAAGCCCCCTATATTTTTTCTCACCTCAGTGACCAGAAACCTGGCGATAGCCAGGTTCCTGTGCGAATATTCTGGCCCGTTTTGAGGTATGTTCTCAAAAATTCTGCTAGATATACATCCACATTTAGATTGCAGCTTTCTGCGCAATTTCCCTGCCTTTTCTCGAAATATATCAGTCAATCACGCGTCGCTTCCCTGGAAACCGACATTTGAGTGTAAAAAAGAAACGTCAGTTGTTTAAGAAAAAGAATATTTCAGAGAAACAAGCATAGTTAAATGAATTGATGCAAACTGTACTTTCTAAATGTATTTGCTGTTTTCATATACTAATTCGCCTTTTTATTAAATAAAATCAATACTTTAATTTTCTTACCCTCGACTTTTCCAGGTAGGCACGTGCGTATCGTGCGTTCAGACAGCTACTCCCCTGCAAAGCCTTTATTTCTGGAAGTCATACATTACGGTATTGCTTTTATTAACTTCCAGACACTAAAATAAGATGTTCATGCTTGGAAAATAAAGACTAAAAAAAAGCAACGAATAGTACCAAAAATCTCTCATAATGATATTCCCATGATTTACTAGTAATACATCTGACGACTTTTATACATTTCAGTACTGTCTGATATAGTTTGTTGTTGCACAGGT